GGGTGAAATTGTTGTGGACTGAGGCAAATTAGTGGACTGGTTGTTTTTGTAGGGGACTCGCTTAATGTGATAAATTGGTGTAATAAGGAGTCTAAACCACCTTGCAGTTAAGAGCTTTATGGATGCAGGTTATGAAGATTACAACTTAGTGGGCAGTATCTTTCAATCATGTGTATAGGGAGGTCAATGAAGTGGCAGAAGGGTTGGCAAAGCGGGGTACAATGTTGGATTCTATTACTGTTTATGAGTCTTTGATTTGATTTTCCAATTTCATGTAACTTAATTTTATTAATAAAAGTCCGTACTCTTGTCAAAAAAAAAAAAAAAAAAAAGAAAGAAAAGAGAGCCAATGGCTGAGTTAAGTGATGCATCCTAGGTCAACCACTCCGTGCCCGTGAACAAGTTACAAGGCAAATTTGGTGAATGCTATTTTGAGGCAAAATTGGTGAATGCAAAATTGTTATTTCTTAAAATATCTCTCGCTATATCAACTACAAATCTATTCTTTTTGAAAAATATATAATAATATTCAGTGCATTAAAAATGTAATTTATTTTACTTTCTTGATTTTGGATATCGGACGAGGCCCTCCCTGGTAAGGCTCTTTATGGCCTCAAAATGGCATTCAACCACTCCAACTGTCTAAATAAGTCATGACATATAGAAAGTGGCAATTTTCAATTGAAATCTTGAAACCTGTATACTGAATCGGCTCTTGCGACATTATGTATCAACCAATATAGAAAGGTTGACTTTGGCCGAGTACTCAGTCCAAGCGCTAGCCAAGTTTGAGTAACTCGGCCCGAGTAGTGACGAGTATTGTATCAGCAAAAAAAAGGTTAAAAAATACAAAAGAAATTTAGAAAAATAGGAAATGTATGTTTAAAGTAATATTAAGCAAAACTCTTCAAAATGAGGTTACCGAAATAGCAAAAAAATAGATTTTAAAAAAAGGTGTGGTTTGAAAAAGGTTGAAACTTTAAACAATCCAATTAAGGTGCACCTCAAAATTTTATCATAAATGTAATTTTGATATAAAAAATTCTTAGGATGGCTTAGAATCTATTTCATCTCTAATTATAAAATTTTAACTCTAAATATGATTCAAATCAAGCAGATCTATAAACACATGAAAATCTTGAAAATGGATGATCCAGATAATGTGTTGCAAAATATTCGTGGACTCGAAATCATTTTTCTCTTCATATTCATGCATCTTGACATCGAGATGATCAATTAGAGGGTTTTTCAACATCTAAATAACCTTTTATGATAGATTTTTGAGGTGCACCTTTAATTCTACATTTTAAAGTTGCAACGTTATAAAAACTTTTTCCTTTAAAAAATCACCTTGTGACTGGGATTTTTTGAAATAATCCAAAGAAGATGGGAAAATATGAAAACATCTTTCAATCTTTGCCAAAGCGATACAAAAAATAAAATAAAAATAAAAATCGTCATGAATAAATTCCTTATTTTTATGTATTTCTAATGATTTTTATTTTTAATTCTCCAAGTAGGAAACCTAACTCGAGGTAACCGGGCTCACCATAGTACCGAGCCCAAGCAGTCAACCCGACTACTAGGCACTCGGACCGAGTAGTCAAACACTGGCCAATATATTCTACACATGTGGCATATTTGACCGTTGTCTTGACCGGGTATTAGGCAAAGCCTGGAGGTGATGAAGCCACCCATTCATCCTTTATAATCATGGCTTCTGACCCTTCGTTTGGGATACTAAATCCAGTTCCAATATGTTAGCATATAAACATTGTGGATTGTGTTAGGGAATTACATAGTCAAGATAGCAAGGCCCTATAATTCGACATCTTGAGTTTCATTCCTACCATAAGTATTAACCTCTTCCCCACTGAACTACCAAAAAAATAAAATTCAACACCAATATACACAAGAGTAAAGAATTATATTTGAGATGGAATTCAAAGTTTGAATAGTGTTGCCTCAATTCTCCATTTGCCCACCCTACACAGGAGTCCATTGCGTCATTTCCAGAAATGCACAATGCATGCACAATCTTCTTTCATTATGTTGTAAATATTCACAAAAGCAAGAATGAAGAGAACCATTGCAATTTGTAGACAAACTCAATCCAGGCAAAAGTAATTGAATGAAGAAACCGTCCCACACGTATGTGTAAAGGATCACCATTAAATTTGACACAAATCTCTAGAAAGGTTATTACATTGGTGGATACTTGACTTTTCTAGATATCTGTGCCAATTTTAAAAGCGATCTTTTGATGTCCTACACACATGGGCGTGAGAGGGTCTCATAGGATCATTACTCATTCATTATACGCCCCAAGTTGAGATGTCAAACGACAAAAAAATTGTATGGTCCAATGGTTCAAAATTGTACACTTGCTCCTCGCAAACGCAAAGCACATTGTTAACAGAGATTTGTTTGACCTAAACCTTCAATTTATATATTCATCTCATACTAAAAGGGAAAATGCTCAGAGCCTGAAAAACACTACACTGCTCCAAATGAATGGCCACTCAAGTATTGACTTTCAATTTGAAGGACAATCAAATTAGGTTCCTAGAAGTTCCAAATCTTCTTATCTCATGCTAGGAAATTGGGCTCGGGTCAAGATGGTAGCAGTTGGGTTTTCATAGCACTACGGCTCAAGTTCCATTTCTATGTAACCTTGTCAAAAGGCGAATCAAATATCATTCGCAAACCTTTGGATGAAACAAAATCTATGTAAGTAGGTATTTGGGGTGCAAAACAAGAATTTACAGTGTACTCACGAGGGAACACGCTATATGCGCCTCACATTGGCATTTGTAAGTGTGTCATTGATTGGCTGTTTGATGGTCTTGTGGGGCATATCCCGAACAACATCATTGTGGTAGTAAATCATGAGGGTTTCATCTATGGAAATAGTACTGGCACAGCCTGCCCCTTTTTTGTTGATAAAAGGCCAAGGGGCACAGACAAAATAACTAGATGGACACTGAATTGAAGATCAACGTGTAAATATATTTGCAACAATAGGAAGTACAAATGTTTCAAAATCCATGAGTCAATTGCTTGAGATGACATAGACATGGATATCAAAGAAATTACTCAATCATTTTAGGACTGAAGACCTAGCCATATATACTTGCGCAGAAAATCTCAAATCATAGCAAACCCCCAAACTAGGTGTAACCAGACCAAATGTACAACTTGTTCCCACAAGATTACCATATATGCAACGTTACTCCTAAAAGGTCACAGGAAGAACGAAAAAGTTTAGGAAAATTACGTATGACCCCCAATACCACACTTGATATGCAACTTAATCTTACCCCCCAACGAGTCTGTTCCTCTAACTTTTGTCCCCAAACCAATGTTTTCTAGCAAATACCCCTAACGATCCCAAAACTTAAAAGAAGGCAAAACTATCTTTATTGTACCCTTTACCTCTCTTCTCCCTTACTTTACCTTTTACCCTTTACCCACGCCTCTCCCTCACCCCTTCCCTACAAGACCTAAAAAATTATTGCAAGAGGAACCACATTCCACAGACGCACTCACGGCGTAACCTCCCTCCCTCTTCTTTGCGCCATCTCCCGTCCCGAGCTCTCCCCCTCTCCTTTTTGAAGGATTTTTTGACCCGAGTCCTACCCTCTCTCTCTTCTACTGTCTCTTTGAATCCAAGGCCCGATCTCTCTCTCTGTGAAACAACTATCAATTTCTTCGATCCAGCCTAAGCCCCCAAAGCCCAAGCTCGATTTTTAGCTCTATCTCTCGGCTCCAAATCAACCACCTAAAAGCAACCACCTAAAAGCAACATATAACTCCGGTTCTCCTTATTATTAGCTAACATGTAACACTACTCAAAAGCAAAAAGAATAAAGAAAAAAGAAAACAAATTGAGGGACAGAGAGTGAGAAAAGGGTCCGACAATCTATGAGGGCAATCCAGAAGAAAGAGTTTTTGAAATCACAACAATGCTCTGACACTGTGTAAGTATGATTCGGCAGTAGAACACTCTCGAGTCACGAGGCTCCGGCATGGTGTAAATGCGATTCAACAGTGGAACACTTTGGAGTCACAGGGCTCTGGCACTGTATAAGTGCGGTCCGACAGTGGATCAAGCGTTGCGACACTATGTAAGTGCAATCCGACAATAGAACACTCGAGAGTCACAGGGCTCCGACACTGTATAAGTGGATCCGACAGTGAAACACTCTAGAGTCACATGGCTCCGACACTGTGTAAGTGCAATCCGACAGTGTGCTACTTGAGTCTGAAAGTCAACGTCAAATCTGGCCAAATTGATTTTTGCACATAAAAAGGGCATTTCCATTTCAAAAAAAAAAAGTATTTGCATAGAAAGCTTGTTTTGAAGAAAAAAAAAATGAGAGAAAGTTAAATTGGAAGTAAATTACATAGAAAATGTAATCTTGAAAGTGTAATCTTTAGGTTTTTTTTAATTTTTCCTAAATATTATATAAAGTCAGTTTATACAAGGTGTCAACCTTATACTATACAAATAAAGTGCATCTAAAAAACCCATTAAAAAGAGGTTCCTCCTATTATGGAAAACCTCAAATTTTGATCATCTCGACAACGAGATTCATAAACATTAAATTAAAGGATTGCTTGTCCTAAAAATACTTCTTCTAACATATTATCTAGACATCTATTTTCAAGATTTTCAAGTGTTTGTAAATCTGTTTGACCATCACCATTTTCGGAACTTTAAATTTCGCAATTAGGGGAAAAAATATTTTTTCATGTTACCGCAAGGCTTTGCGGCACCTAAACTGCATTTTCGGCAAAGTTTTTAGGTACACCTTACTTCAATAGGTTGACACCTTGTACAAATTCGGCATAGTTTTCTGGTACACCTTCAATAGGTTGACACCTTATACAAACCTATCCTCACCCCAGGAAGAATAAAAGGCCACTCCTGCGTGCATACCCAGAGAGGAGAGAGGTAGAGGTGGTATGCCATATTTGTTTTATATGGGAATAACAAGCACGAGAAACATACGATAATAAATCACCCAGAATAAAGGAGTGCAAATACAGTGCAACTCAAAACATATATTCAACCACAAACCTGAGCCTATGATTAACTTCCATATCCTAAAGCATCCCAACTCAACCAAAAAATTTCACCAGAATTTTATATACACGATGATTAGTGAAAAGAACTTGCTGTCCCCCTCCACCAATCAAATCATGACGTAACGTGGGTGTGGAAGATCGTGGCCCATGGGTAGAGAATAGAGATTACAGTGCTTTATCGCAAAAACTCTCTTGGGTCGGTGACATAACCAGTAAGAGCTGATGCTGCAGCCGTGAAAGGTGACGCCAGATAAATTTGGCCTTCTTTGTGCCCCATTCGTCCAGGGAAGTTTCGGTTTGTTGTAGACACGCACACCTACAAAGTCATTTGCATGCAAGCTAAGTTTTCCAACAAAAAGACTCATAGAAATCTATAAACGAGTCACACAAAACAAGCATACACAAATGGAAGAAAACAAAAAGGAAAGATACTGGTAAAAGGTTTTAAAAACTACTAGGACCCTTGTTCATCCATCATGATGCTGAAATGATGGCCTTAGCCATCAATATGTGATATGTCAATCTCGAGGTCTATCGGGGTGAATGCAAGATTGTAGTAACGAGTCAAATTTATTTCTCAATTATGATTACATTCGATTGAAAATTCAATCATACAAGTATAAATCTGTCTGCCACTTAGAACTCCTTTCAACATTTTCACTCTTCTAGCCTTTTAAACCTGCCTAATAAACATACAACACAAAGCCCTATGGAATCTGTAGAACAAACGAAATCATAGAATCAGTATAACAGAGGAAGTTTTCAGGGGTGAAAAGCATTTTTTTGGGCAACTCCTTCGGCTCCTTGAGCCAATTATCAAGGACAATCCAACAGCATAAAACACCCATATCCCATCAGGTTTCTTTAACTCATCCATTTCAGCAGTATCATCCAGCTTAATATATCCTTAGATTATTGCATTACATCTTCAAATGATAACTATCAGAAAAAGAAAAGTAATTGTTGTTTATCTGGATTAATCTTTTAATCAGGACAATTATGATTATATGTTCTTAAACAAGAACTTCAAAGGAGAATCTAAAGCACCAAGATATGCTATGCCTTGGCAATTCTGAACCAAAAGTACTGATGTATTCCGAGATCCAGTAATAGGTGAGTTACTGATGGAGTGCACATGGGCATGTAATTGGATACATGCAGGCCTGTCTGCTCAAGCACTACAGTGCATTAAAGGAAATGGAAAAGGGGCATATAAATTTTGGGCACATTCAAAACGATTCAAAAAGACCTACACTCTAAAAGAATGAAATATTGGAATTGTGCAATGAACCCACACACAGAGATCTACCATATTAAGGGAGATATACAAAAGAACATTAAAGAGAAAATAAAAAATGAAGTACAATTAGATTAGAATTCCTTTTCTTAATTTGTATTAATTTTTAGAATTTAGGTAATTTCTTTTATTTATTTCTTATTTATTGAATCCTTTTTCTTTTTCATTTTCAATCTATTTTCCTTTAGCTTATGGGGACTGCTGACTAGCCCTGTGTCCTCCTACTTACTTCGCCTTCTTCTGATAAAGAATTGAGAAAGATCACCCTTTCTAGGACCTAATAGGACTTAATCCCTCGAATCTCCATTCGTTGCTTTCGGTACCCAATCCTATTCATACCTTATCCTGCCTTACGCCATGAGTGCTAAAAAACTTTGATCAGAATTGAGTTGACTCAACCATGTCAATATTTGGCACATGAACGAGTTTCCTATGAAAAACTCAAGCCAAGGTTTTCAGCTTTTAAATTTAAATCAATTTGAAAATTACTAAGCTAGTCGCTTCAGGCCTGGGTTAAATAAAAAATGAAGTACACCATGAGTGCTAAAAAACTTTGATCAGAATTGAGTTGCCTCAACAATGTCTAGATTTGGCACATGAACGAGTTTCCTATGAAAAACTCAAGCCAAGGTTTTCAGCTTTTAAATTTAAATCAATTGGAATATTACCCACAAATGGTTGGAGGTTTCATGGTGAAATGTGTATCCCTCTTTAGACCATGTCAAGAATGGATCTTATGGTTGGTACAAAACCTTTTTTCCAAAATTAAAATCTCCCTAAATTTGAGAAACTCCAGCAAGTTGACTCGGTTTTGGCTCTGCCTGAATTACAGGTCAAATTTCAGTTTGTAAACACTAATTAATAAGAAAGATGATTTTCTTCCCATACCCGATGGACAATGAAGTATAGTGAATGGCCCACTTGTTTTTAAGTCACAAAACGTGATAACTGGGAAGAGCTTCAGTAAATATGTCTATCCCTTAAAGAAAAGACTTCAAACATTAGATATAACTCCTCAAGCAACCTTCTCATTAGTATGCATGGGCACGAAAAGCCAAACTATCAGCTATATTACAATACTAAATATCATCTCTTGGACAAATAAATAATCAAGTAAAAGGGAGGTTACCAAGTATTCTGGACCACATTGGACGCCATAAATAATAATTTATCCTGAAAACAGAGCAGGCAACATTTGGCTGCTTGAACAGAATTAGACCATAGTTCCTGAGAGCACGTACTAGGTATGGATAACATTACCCATATTAGTATACAAAGTTGAGAAAGCCTTTAGGAATGTAGCAATCAGTGTATGTTGGGACACAACCATGTATGAGGTTCATATCCAAATATGGAAAAGATATTGGAGGTGCAAAGAGTAGTAACAGACATCTGCCAACATTGGCATACAATTACTTGGAGCCACTGCCATGAAACATACAAATCCTCTGTTTGGGTTCCACCAGCAATAAGCGGTATTAAGCTTAATTTTGATGGTAGTTCTCAAGGAAAAGCCGAGCACATTGCACCTACAAGTGCCTTAGAAACTCTACAACACTTTACTACAACTAAAGATGATCCTGCCAAGCCTAACGTTCATCTTAGATAATCCATATTCTGACCAAGGAGATTTAATTTTGAGCAATTATTGAGCATCAAACCAAATCTTTTCTAAAGACTGATCTTGGAGTGGAGACTCATGTTGGCTCCTTTGTGGGTTCTTCCCAAATCAAAAGTGGTTGATTTACAGTAGGGCTACATGTGTAAATTTTAAGACGAGGACAATACTGTTAGTCACAAGAGGACGTTACTGTTAAGCAATGACGGGCATTAAATGCTCCATGTAAGTCATATCAAACCTTATGTCGGTTGATGTTATTCCCCACATTTAGTTCATAAATGCTTTGTAGTAACCAATATTTTTTTATATGAACCTTGAATAATTACCTTGTGTTGGGCGATATTCTCCCACATTAAGTTTGTAAATGCTTTTGTAATTACCAATAGTTTTCTTTTTATTTGCTTCAAACTTTCTGAAAGTTCGGCTTCTGTGTTTTCGACAGAAGCCGAATGTTAACTAGTTCGGGCTTAAAACGGGAGATGAAAACTTTTATTTACTGTGGCAGTTCCGTGCGTCAAACGCAGAAGTGCTACAATATGGTGGAAGGTTTGCCTCCAGAAACCAAACGTTCGCCCAAACAAACATCCCCATAGGCCTCTCTTTTTCATTTTTTTTTGTTAAGTAGTAGTTGTAGGTTGATGGGAAAAATAGAGAGAGAAAGTAATGCTATATCAAGACAGTCAAGCCATTGTATCTTGGTTTTCTCCTTTGAAGAAAGGGAGTGGTGGAATCAATAGGCATCGCATTGAGCTTCCCTTTGTTGCCTAAAAATCGTAGGAAGAGAAGATTCTACTGTTAACTTGTGATAGGAGTTTGCTAGATCTTGTGATGGAGCAATAGAGAGGGGTTTCTTGACATTTAGCATTGTATATACACACATCATAGTACCCTCAAACAAAAATGGCAAATATTACTACAGATATACATATAAATTCTATAAGACAGTTGTGAGACTAGCTTTGCTCCATGGGGAAGAATGTTGGGCAGTCAATAAACAACATACCCATAGGTGTGGCTCCAATAGGTGATAAGGTGTAAGAAAGTAGATTTGGTGGGATAGCCATATATTGCGAACCCAATACAACACCTATTAGGAGGTGCGAGTTGGTTTAACTAGAATGCTTAAATGGGGCAAAGGGTAGGTCCAAAAGGACATGATTAGAAGTAGCGAGAAAATATATGAGGACTCATGGCCTCATTGAGAGTATGACCCTTGATAGAGCAAAATGACGGACCAGGATTTGTGTGGAAAAAAGCTCTGATTATATATATATATATATATATCAATAATCCAATGCAATGGTTGTATCATAGTATAATAAAACGATACTTCTAGAAAACCATGTTGGTGGTATTTGTATGACCCCAAATTTTGCACACACTCTCTTCATCTCAATAATCAAGCCCCCCCAAAAAAAAGGTTCAATTTGAACCTTAGATATGGTCAAAATGAATCCCCTCCAAGAACAAATCTAGACCATTCATTTTGTGAATTTCAAGATCTTGGCCTTTAGAAACTCAAAATCAGTTTTT